ATATATATATATATATATATATATATATATATATATATATATATATATATATATATATATATATATATAGGAATTTAAAGGGAGTCTGTGTGCAAGTGCAAGTAGCTCCATGTGGCTTCTACATGTAGGTTAAGGACACAAGATCCATTAGCTGCAAGCTGATGAAAGAGTGGATGCTTGGTTGCAGCAAAAGTTGCTCCTCTTAACGTAGGGTGAAGCCAAGTTGCTTCTAACCCACTCCTTTTCCAAAGCCGATGCAGTCCCCTTGGTCATGTTGATACAGTCCTGAGGTGTTATAAGTCCGAGAATGGCATCGAGGATTTAATAATTCCTCTTGTTGACGGAATCACAACCCTAACACTAGACCAAGCGAGACTTGTTGATTGTATGATCATATTTAATTAGATAAAATATACTATAATTTTAATTAAATTTTGATTAAAGTCATCAATCAATAAAAAAAAAAATTATGATATTATTCTTTATTAGCGATGATATTAATGAGAGGGATTCTCCTACTTGCTTATCTTATATATTATATTTTTACTTATAAATAGAAAAGACCTCGTAAGGATTATATACAAAAGAGAGATTATAAATCTACTTTCATCACTTCTGTGTTCTATTGTTTATAGTGACCCTACGAAGGATAAGAAGACAGTAGAATGCGAGTCTAATTCTCCTTGTAAATCCATTCCTTTGGATCAGACGATGATGCATTTATAAATCAGAAGAAAGTCATTTTGAATGACATCGAGAGGCATGCATCTTAAGTTTAATCTATTATTATTTGATTTCATATTCTAACATTAAAGTTTTTTCATATAAGAATAACATGATTATAGTTTTTATCCTTACAATTGGTATCAATATTATTTTGAAATCAAATACCTTCGATCATAAAAAAATTAGATTTATTTTATATTATTTACTTTGTGTTATCATCATTTGCTTGTGAAAAGTGCTTTAATATATTTTGTTTATCTTGTAGTCACTTGCCTATGAGCAATGAAGGTTTCTCACCCACAAGTGGAATCATAAACAAAAGGTTGCTACCTAATCTTGATCGACGAGTTGTGTTAGTAGTTTGCTGTCAACGATAACACTATGAAGACCAATGGCCTACCTTGGTCGCTTGCCCTACCATAAACCATGATTATGCAAGCAACAACATTGCATGCAATGACTATATAAACCACAGCGACGTTGTGTTCGATGGCAAAGGAGGGTTCTACGATAGGTGGTCATCGGTGAGCGATCATCGATATTGACAGACAGCTTTTTGTCCATAACAATATAGCATAAGGTGATGACTTGCTTTATCATCAACCTTGTTGTGGGTAACAAACTACTATTGGTGGCATCATAGGGAGTCACAACGATAGGACTCTATATGCTAATGCTCATGTGTGTTGGTTCTAGTGGTGGTTGAGGGTGATAGTGGCATCACGACATTGGATGCTATGATGAGGAGTCCCACAACCATCATAGGGTTGCATCACAAAGTGTTAACAAAGACCTAGATAACAGCGATGGTGTGACAGTCTTATTGAGGGCGACAATCACACGAGGTCATGACATATTACGATAGGAAGGAGTCTCGTTGGGTGTCATTACGATGATGGGATTTGACAATGGGAGCATTGCTAGAGGTTGTTGGATGTCACAACGAGATAGGAGGTGTCATGGCAGGAAAAGTGTCACCACAGACGATGCATTGTGAAGATGGTCATCAACATCGACTTGATGGTAGCCAGAGACCAATCCGGGTGTCATGGGTGAGGTGCATAGTGGGATGGTTTTTCATAGACATGTGCTTCTTCGTGGAGTTGTCGGAGGCCACAAGGCCCATGATGGTGATTTGGGTGCTGCTCAGATAGCAACTCAACATTTGAATAAAAAGTATTGACACAGGAGTGTCTAATTTGTTATAATCTGCTCATATTGACCTTGTTAATGCTATGGTATATTTTTTAGCCCACAATATTGCTTCATAGTTTTCAACTCAGCACACTCAATTATAACAGCTCATGAGCATATTCCCTACACAAAGTTACAACTGTCTCAATGCACTTTTCTTCATGACCAAGGAATATATTAAAAAAGTTGGTTACCAATTGTAAAACACTTAATTTCGAAATTTTCTATGTATAAAGGGTTGTTTCATGTACTAGTACTTATTTTGGTGTTTAGGGGTTAGAAAAAATTTTAGAAACTGATGATATTTTAGTAGAAGTTCTCTTGGAGTTCTCCCTTAAACTCTATATCTCTTGGATGCTTCCTTGAGTAGTGTGTCTTTTATTTTTAGTTTTATATCCTTATTTAATTTCCTTTGGGTGGTGAACTTTCTGTATCCCTTTGTGATTTTAAACTTAGTGATGAACTATTTTTCTATTTTATTAAAGTATTATCGTGAGTTCATTCATTTTATATCTAAAAAACTATATCATCGATTTTTTTTTGAAATCTATTCTACTCCCCCCCCCCCATTCTGCATCACCCTAGTATCACTTTGGTATCAGAGCTAAAAGCTAGAGATCATGGCAATGCGGAATGGAAAGAATATAGTTGGTGAAGGTAGTTGTCATGAAGATGATACTGAGTCATTGAGATTGCAGCTACGAAGATACTGTGTAGTCTACAAGAAAAAAATAAAATAATCGAAGAACTTCAAAGTAGAAATAATCAGCATGAAAATGATGTCCATGAATTTACTTCTGATGATGATACACCTCCTCATCCAAGGGGGTCGAGAAGATTTCGGGCAAGACGTGGAGTTCAAGACGAGTTGCAAAACAAATACAACCAAAGATAGGATATTCCAAAGTTTGAAGGCAAAATAAATGTCGATGACTTTATCGATTGGCTTAATATAGTAGAAATAATTTTTTATTTTCATGAACCACTAGAACAAAAAAAAGATAAAACTTGTGGCACTCAAACTCAGACTGAATGTATCTTTTTGGTGGGAAAATATGAAGAAACAAAGAGAACGTGAGGGGAAGAGTAAGATCATGATATGAGAGAAAAATGAAAAGGGAGTTGAAAAAAAAATATTTACCTCACAATTATAGGCAAGAGATCTTTCTCAAAATCCATAATTTCAAGCAAAAAAATCTTAGTGTGGATTAGTACACTACAAAATTTGATAATCTGATGTTAAAGGGAGAGCTTGTGGAACCAGAATAACAAACTATTGCAAGATACTTAGGAGATTTGAAATATGAGATTGCTAAAGTGGTTCAACTACAGCCATATTGGTCTTTAAATGATATGAGCAAGTTGACATTCAAAGCTGAAAAACAATAGAAGTTTAAAAGGAGTTATCAGTATGGTTTAAAAAAAGGATATACAAAAGGAGGAAGTTCCAAGCCTACTGTCCAAAGCAAGGTGATATCGAAGATGCAAGAAAAGGGTGAAGAATCTGCTGACAGTAAAAAAACACCTAATTCTTCTACCCCAAGTGGTTGAAAATGCTTTAAATGTCATGGTTTTGGGCATATGGCTTCAGATTATCCAAATATGAGGATTGTAACTTTGGTTGAAGATCACAGTGAGGGAGGAGTAGATGAAGAGGATGACAAATCAAAATATGATGAAGATGAGGAAGAGGTTACTTATGCAGATCATTGTTTGTCTATTGTATTGTGACGTAGCTTATAAATGTCTTATGTGGTCGAGGATGAAAATTGGATGAGAAAAAATGTGTTTCACACTAAATGCACTTCTTTTGGCAATGTGTGCTTGGTGATCATCAACAGCGACAGCTTTGAGAATGCGGTATCTTTAGAGACGGTGCAGAAGCTAAAATTGGATACAATTCCTCATCCACATCCATACCAGTTATATTGGTTGCAAAAAGAAAATAACATCAAGGTAACTAAAATATATTTAGTTTCGTTTTCTATTAGCAAGTATTATAAAGACGAAGTATAGTGTGATA